CCTGCCCCCCCCCCCCACTGGCTTTCTTGCCCCCAACTGCTCCCCCTTGCTGGCCTGATTTCCCCCAACTGCCCCTGCCCCCGCCGGCCTGCTCGCCCCCAACTTCCCTCCCCTCCTGGCCTGATCACCACGAACTGCCTCTGCCTCAGCCCCGCCACCATGGCTTTGTCCAGAAGGACGTCCGGAAGGTCTTCCGGAAGGTCTCCCAGTCTAATTAGCATATTACCCTTTTATTAGTATAGATATTATATATACTATTTTGACATGTAATTTTTTTGCAGTGACGTAATTACCGCACGAATCTTTCTTCTAATTAATTTCCTTTCAATTTGCACGAATCCATGCACCGGGCCACTAGTATTCTAATAAATAGGTATGGTATCAGATGGGTATGAGATTTATTGGGATGATCACTAGTAAGTTGTATAATGTCTAATCACTGGGGTGTACAACTAAAACTAATATAATATTATATGTTGACTGTAATTGAAAAATAAAAAATTATTGTAAAAAAGAAATTCTAGGACATAAAACCCTAAACTACTTTGTCATTAGTAATCAACCATTGCAATTAAGTGTGGAAGAGAGAAGAGTCAGGTTGCTGCTGAGTTTCCTGGAAAAGCCTCCTCATGAAGCTGCCAGGACCTCACTCACTTGTAGAGCAGGCTGGGGGCCTTCACGGTACACTGGAAACCTTGCTGGGTCTGTACCACCTCGTAGCCATCACAGGGCTCTTCTGCACACTCCATGAAGCCTGCACAGAAACCATAAAATCTTGCACAGAGTGCTGCTCTGTGGACAACAGTCTTCTCCCCAAGCTGACAACCACTCTCAAGGTTTAAAAAAAAGTAACACACACACACACACAACAGCCCAACAATTTACATTGCAGAGCACTGCTCTGACAGTCCTTGTGACCAGCTATTAGAAGAAAAATAAAATAAAAAACACCTATTTCAAATCTTCCAATTTTGGAACCTTGGAAAATTAGTAAGTACATACCACTGTTTCTCCCAGAACGCAAAGACCTAATAAAAATGTTTTGCCCTAGCTGGTTTGGCTCAATGGATAGAGCGTTGGACTATGGACTGGAAGGCCCTGGGTTCAATTCTGGTCAAGGGCACATGCTCGGGTTGCAGGCCCCCCAGTGGGGGACGTGCAGGAGGCAGCCGATCAATGATTCTCTCTCGTCATTGATGTTTCTATCTCTCTCTCCCTCCCTTCCTCTCTGAAATCAAGAAAAATATATTTTTTAAAAAAGTTTTACTGCCCCACCGACGTGGCTCAACCACTGTTGAGCATCCCTTCCTCTCTGAAATAAAAATATATATATATTTTTAAGTTTTACTATTTTTTTATGGAGATGTAATTCACATAACATAAATTCATCCTCTTAAAAATGTACGACTCAGTTGTTTTTAGTTTTAAGACATAAAATTCTTCTAATGCATAAAGTTGGAGAGATACTGTGAGAACTTACTCCATACAGCAGAGACAAAGTGAAATAAAGGAGCCCAAAGGCTCCAAGGCTGAAGGGAAATCATGGGGAGCATCAGGGAAGAGACTAAACTCCAAGACTTAGGGCCCAATGAAAAAGCTTATAAAGCAAAAGAAAAATAAAGCAGAGGACCTCAAAGGCCCTGCCAATTTATGCATTTAACCCAAGCCCAAGTTAATTAGCCTGAAAATATTTATAATCCATCTTGACTGTTTAATTTATTTCTTTTTTTTTTAATATATTTTATTGATTTTTTTACAGAGAGGAAGGGAGAGAGATAGAGAGTTAGAAACATCGATGAGAGAGAACCATCGATCAGCTGCCTCCTGCACATCTCCTACGGGGGATGTGCCCGCAACCCAGGTACATGCCCTTGACCGGAATCGAACCTGGGACCTTTCAGTCCGCAGGCTGACGCTCTATCCACTGAGCCAAACCGGTTTCAGCTGTTTAATTTATTTCTTAAATTATCCCTACATCATAATAAAGTTGTGTATTTGGAACTGCTTGTATATGTCTGCAAGGAAGAGAAAAATAACAACAATAATAACAACTAACATTATTGGGCACTGGATAAAATACTTTACATATATTCGTTTATTTAAATAATTTATAT